TTTGTATATAAGTGCGCCAAGCAATTAATCAGAATTGAATAGCGGACAGAGAGAGATTGAAGATATAGATGGATAATTGAGTCAAGCGCGGTAGTAAGTAAAGTGCGAGAATCGTTCGTTGTGAATTATAGCGTGTGTTGAAGTGACTGTGGAAATTAAGTGTATTGCAAAGTTGAATTGAGAAATAATATACTAGTTTTAATTAAGAAAGGACTTGTATTGCTGAAGTTTCTTGGAAAGAATTTCTACAAAAAATTAACAAAACGAACACAGACGTAACAATATATAGTGACTGTCCCTCTTTGGAAAATGCAGCACCACAGAAAACTTTCAGATGGAGAAGTAACAGATATAAAAAACAACAACAAATAACCATCTGGTGAAGCTAGTAAATAATTCTTAACAATATAGTGACAGGTGTCTCCATATTATATTAATCCAGAATTGAAAGTGAATATTACTAAAGTAGAGTTTGAAGTAATCCATGGGTACCATAAACGAACATTGCAGGCTCAATATTATAATCTATTCAGTCCTAGGGCCTATCAAACTGTCTCAAGACTAACGTTAGTAAACACTGCAGGATCATAATTATAATCTATCCAGGTCTAAGGCCTATCAAATTGTCTTAGGACTAACATTAGTAATAGATGTGACACAATAACACAGTACCTTGTCTGCTCCGTTCACTTGTATCATGATCCTTCTAGAAACTCCAGCGTGCATGCTTCCAGCGTCACGTGACTTAATATTGTTACGTCTCTGGTCGTTAGTTAATTTTCCGTAAAAATTACTTCCGAAGAAACTTTAGCGATACAAGTCCTTTCTTAAATAAAACTGGTTTATTCTTTCTGAATACAACTTTGCAATACACTTAATTTCCACAGTCGCGCTATAACAAACGCTATAATTCACAACGAACGTCTCACGTGCTCGCTCAACAATACGTCTCTCTTCGTCTGCAGTTCAATTACACATTGTTGCTGTCACTTCTTGGCGGCTTATATATACAAGACTACCGCATATCTAGTAAAAGCTCGAGACTTCATGAGCCTTCGAGAATATGACGTGTTACTAGCGTCACGTGACCCCCGCTGTCGTAACAATATGATATTTATCTTAATACTTATTTAACACTTTATACTTACTTATTTTTTAATATTAAATAATTAGCATTTAATATAACATGTATTTAATGCTTAATATTAGTTGAATACTTCACTACATACATGATTGTTTTGTTTTGAATTTAGCTATCTGCGCTAGCCGTCCCTAATTTAGCAGTGTAAGACTAAAGGGAAGGCAGTTAGTCATCATCACCCACCGGAGCTACTCTTTTACCAACGAATAGTGACACTGACCATCACATTATAACGCTCCCATGGCTCAAAGGGCGAGCATGTTTGGTGTGACGGAGATTCGAACCCGCGACCTTCAGATTGCGAGTCAAGCTCCCTAACCACCTGGCCATGCCGGGCCTCACTATATACATGAATACTTAACTTAATATTTACTTATGATTTATAGTGTACTTAAACCCAACTTAAATAAGAAAATATTGATGGATAATCTTTTCCAAGTTAGCAGCCTATAACTTAAAGATACCCCTGGTCTAATTCAATAAATAAGAGCTATTTCATTCTTTTGTAAACCTTAAGATAATAAGTGTACAATTAAATATTGTTAAAGTCTGAATAACAAAAAAACATTAAAAGTGACCTACTTTTTGAGCCGATTTCAGTTTCTCACAGAAGTTATTGAACAGAGACAGACATTCTTCTACTTTGAATACATTTGGGTCTTCACAAAAATGTTTGGCTAATTTTGATGCTTTAACACGAAGCTCCTTTAGGCCACAGTCTAACTTCTCTAACTGTTTCAAGGCTTGCTATGAAGAAAGAAGACATAACACACATTAATTCCGATACTATACTTAATTTCACTGACATAAATAGCTATTCTTGTTCAGTGCTGCCCTTTATATGCAAAATATATTTTCGAATGCCACAAGCCTTGAAGCTCCCACCCATCTTTGAATCGACTGATTCAAATGGTCTCGCATCCAAATCATCATGCGACAACCCTCTACCAATAGAAGTGTGACACACTCTTTTGACACATGTGACTTTCTCTATTCAATTCTACCGAACTATCACTTCTCTTTTGGCAGAAACATATTGCAATGTTTAGTTTGTGCTCTCTTCAGGTGTTTATTTTTCCGGTATCTTTGTATTAATTTCTCTCAACAAGTTTACTCTTTATGATACAATAGTGATATTTGTAACTTTTGAGTTATCCCAAGTGGAATTATTTTATATTTCTACCTGGTTACGGAACTTATTACTTTATTACAAATACTTTTTATTTATTTCTACCAAGACAGTTGTGTTTGCTTAGGCTTACCATGTTCTTTGTTACTTTAGGATTACCAGTAATTCATTTTACTGGTATATCAGTCATTAGTTTAACTATATTGTTTTTCCACCATACATCACGTATCATACATCTGTTATTGTTACTACACACTTACTTAATTTTATACAATCACGTCTATTTCATTTTCGTTACTTATCATTTATCCTTCTTCCTATTCACTTGGTTTGTATGGAACCCTTGTGCTGGGGTCCACACAAACTTCTCACGATATTGTACATACTTATGGTTACCTTAAAATTTTTATTTTAGTATTTAGTGATATCCTTTGTTCTGTGCAGTTCAATTAGGCTTAACAAGTGTTTGCTAATTTCGTTTTACCGTGGTTCAATTTCCGGGTTAATCGATAATTAGGTTAAATATTTTTCTTAAACACATAACATCACGTACATATGTTTATTTCCCGACACAATTTCTTAACATTTCCACTATATCGACTGTTTCATTTTCGTCTTTCTTTATACTTCTTACCATTCATTTCATTTTTGAGGGTCCCTGGGGCCGGGTCCACACTGTCTGCTCCTATAATGGCTGAACCCAGTTTCAGATGACCTATATTTTTTCAGTTTTCCTCCATCTTATCATGGATTGCCTTTCAAGCCGCTACTGCAGAATCTGCTAGGCCTATCTCAGTATATTCCCCTTCGAATGACGTTGTTTGATGATGATCTTGCATGTCTCACCCTATACAGGTTTTTTTCTTTTTGTCTTAGCTTACCATCAGGCAAATTTTCTTCCTGATTTTATGTCATTTGCATCTCTGTTAATATTATATATTTTATCCCATACCTAGTATTTTAGCTTCGTTTTACCCTAACGACTCCCCTACATTTAATATTTACCTTCCAGTTAATTTTTTTGGTGTTCCACTGATTTTTAGGGATATACGAGGGAGACCTCCTCCTCCTTTCTCCCTCCATATTGGAGTGTTTACCATCTTTAGTTCTTTCCCACCATACGTGGCTTCTTTGCTTTTTGGATCCTCTAGAGTGAGACAGTGCTGTTTGTTTACCATCTACTGCTAATAGGAACTTACGGTCAGTTGTTTTTCTCCACCGGTCCGTATTTTGGGGCTAGTCCTGTACATTTAGCATCATGTAGGGTATCTGCTATCTGCTATGCTATAATAATTTTTTTTAGTTGCTCTTTTGTTTCATTATGAGATATTATCATCTTTATTCATTTTACATGTTCGGCACATGCCTGTCCATTACCTGTCTTACCTACTGGTTTTCTTCATTCTCTTGTATGCTCGATGCTGATTGGGGTTCTGGGTCATTCAGTCCCACCTCAATCAATTCTTGTATCTTCCCTTTTTTAATATGTAGTCTTTGATCACATTTGGGTAGGCTGTTTCTGCATGACTGCAAATGCCTATGTACATATTCTTATCTTTGGTTTTTCTCACCACGTGATTCGGTATCAGTTTCCTGCCTTGTCCTTTGGACTTATTTCAGTTCCACATGTCTGTTGTGGGGCAGTCTGCATTTTACTCGACTTCCACATTTTGGGAGATTTTACGTACACTGTTTATTGGATGTCTAGCTTCAGTTAGCTCCTTTCAAACAGTTTTAATATACTCATCTACTCCTTCCTCAGTTAGCTTGAGTAGTTGGATTTTCCAGTGGATAAGTTTTTCCTGTTACATACTTCACATTCTTGTCTCTTTGGGGTGTGTATTTTTAAGCCCCACCTCCATCGGGACAAGCCATTCTCCTCCTCCTTCAATGTATCTGAAGGAGTTTTCTGTTATCCAAATCTTTATGTTGGGTTTTCCTCTTAATTTCTATTGTTCCTCTTCTTCCTTATGCATTGATGGTTGAACATATCCCCCCACGACGTCGGGTTTTCCGCTTCCTCCCCCCGCTTCTTGATTGTTTCTCTTCCCTGATGCTCATATCCAAAGGTGGGGATGTGATTCGTTTAGTAGGAGACTTCAGAACTGTGGTCTACAGATGAAAGGTCTTATCCCCTTCACACCTGGGTACTTCTGCTAGTCCAAGGTGTTTTAGTTCACTCTCTTCCTCTTGTCTAGATTTGGCTAATCCTGTTTCATTTAGACTTTTGTTGGTGGTGGCTTATATCACTAGCCAAGGGGGATATTCATTAATGTTCCTTCTGTTGAAAACATTGGATTTCCTTTTTAGAACTCATACATTTGACATACGTCTCCTGGAGGGTCGTGTTCCAGATGCTTTGTCCTCGTTCATTGATCGGGGGTACAAGATTCCCTCCAGCTACTCTACACCTAGGGGCACATCTTTTTCATCTTACACAGTTTTATGTTTTCTGTGATTGAGTTTAATAAATATTGTATGGTTAGGATCCCTATTCTACCATAGTTCTCTCCCATATGGATGTGCTCTTCCATCTTTCCACAATGGGCAAAGAGTATAACTCGTACAGAAGTGATGCGGTCTGCCATGTATAATCTTTGACTCTGAAAATCTCTTTGAGAGTGTCCTTCAGATGGTTCTCTCTTTCCCTCACACTGGTCCCTCCACCTGTTCAATGTGGGATTCTAGCTATTTATGTGAGCGGAGGCAATGTACCATCTTGGAAGTTATAATTTTCCTATACTGAAAGTGTATTTTCGATAAGTACTTACCTCCATTCATACTTCCCACCCTTACTCCTCACTGAAAATCGGTGCTTCCATTTTCTGCCAAAACTCGAAGTGATAGTTCGGTAGAATTGAATAGAGAAAGTCACATGTGTCAAGAGAGTGTGTCACACTCCTATTGGTGGAGGGTTGTCGTATGATGATTTGCATGCGAGACGGGTTTGAATCAGTCGATTCAAAGATGGGTGGAAATTTCAAGGCTTGTAGCATGCGAAAATGTTTTTGCATATAGAGGGCAGCACTGAATGAGAATAGCTTTTTATGTGAGAGGAGGTAACTATCGGAAATACATTTTCAGTATAGGAAAATTATAACGTTCGTTTTTTTTTGTGTTTAATTATAATCTTACCTTTAGACAAGAATACACAGTATGCAATACATGCAAGGATATTTCTTATAATGATAGTTTCAATCCTAGTTATTAATATTTTTGTTGTATGAAATTATGCTATACCACAGTCAATTCAATAAGTGACTACATATGCATAATTGTTTATTGCAGTTAAGCATAAAGCTACATGATGGGCTGTCTGTATTATATCCACCATGGGTTTCTAAACCAGACTTTTGGTATCATAAATCTGCATACCTACCACTTAGTCATTTGGAGGGGGCCATATGTATGATAGTAAATTATTTTAAAAATTTGCAACTGAAGTAAAATTGGATCAAGTTGAGAAATATTCTGCTTTGAGGGTTTATAACAATAGCTTTACTTAACCATTGTTTTAGGTGATGTTTTTTTTAATTAAAATTTTTGTTTGGCTAATATAAAGTTTTACATAGTACAGTGGACATGGCTTAATTTCCAGAAATTTCTTAAATTTAGGAAACGATTTGAACAGTATAATATACGAGTTAAAATAAAGTACATTTATTATCGGTTATTTAGTTTATTATTAAGTGTTTGTTCAATTAATTGATGATATAACTAATGTCTTGACCATAACTGTTTTATGCAAGTTGATCTGATGAGCCCTGTATTGAGCAAAAGGCCCTGTCAGCACCGGATATATCAGATCTTGTGTGATTGATATATTGTTACATTCTTCTATAGTTTCGCTCATAAGTTATTTTAATTTTACTGATTCTTAAGAAGTGAATTACTGCTTTTATTGGGTTCATTAGTTAGCTTGATAGTTCATTGCAGTGATTATTCAGTCTGTAATTTGATGTAGCAATAACAGATACATATACTATAGTACATTATGCATAACGAGAGAATTATGAAGTAAGCTAAATTATCGTAGTTGTGTCTAATGTAAACTCAAGTCTATTAGGGAACATTTGTCAGGTCAATTTGCCGAACTTGTAGTCAAAAAAATAAAAGCTTTATCTTATCATTAAGTAGCCTAAATATTGCATTCTTCTTTTCAACTGAATAATCCAAAAGAACCTGCCCAACAATAGAAACTGTTACAAGATTAGCATCAGGAGTAGGTTAATTTTGGAAAAACATTGTACAAAATGTTTTATTCTAATTAAAAGGGATTTTTACATTACCTAATGGGGATTTGCTTAATGACTTTCTTGGAATTTTAGGAAACATTTTGAATCATATGAAAAAGTGAGAGATTATCGATTTTGTGAATCTGTTACAGTGAATGATTGATTATTGAGTGATTTTTAATGATCAGCTGTTTCTTCCTGTCAGGCACCTTCTCAGTTTGTTAAGTTTTGTGAATAGTGAGTTTGTGTTGCCACGAACAAATAGAAATAGAGGAAAATAGAGGTGAATGTCATTGTCACTTCCCATTCTTTGTTTAAATATGTATAAACCCTGTTACAAAACATTTCAGTCTGCATCTGATGATTCCTTTACTGGTTAAACC